TTTGTGAGTTACGAGCGAAGAGCGTGGAAAAATTTGAGGGAACGGAGACTCGGCACAACATCATTTCTGACAAATTCATTCAGGAAAATCGTTCTACTTCACGGTAGAAAACCACTTGCCGGGGAACGGGTGTGCAAAGAATCTACCAGACTGTGAGCTACAGGAAGAAGAGATAGTGACTGATTCAACAACAAGTCAGAGCGAGTCAAGTTACGACAAGTTTGAGCGAGTCAAGGTTACGAGAAGTTTGAGGGAGTCAAGTTACGAGAAGTTTGAGCGAGTCAAGGTTACGAGAAGTTTGAGCGAGTCAAGTTACGAGAAGTTTGAGCGAGTCAAGTTACGAGAAGCTTGAGCGAGTCAAGGTTACGAGAAGTTTGAGCGAGTGAAGGTTATGTGAAGTCTGAGGGAGTCAAGTTACGAGAAGTTAAAAGTTGAAAACTGCAAAGTTGTAAGAAGACGAAGCCAATTTGAAACGAAGGAAACGAGCAAAGTTGAGAACTGGTGAGACGGTAAACTGGTTGGAGAAACGGTAGTTTGGTTTGGCAAGGCACCGTTTGTTGGTGGAGCGTGGTGAGTTGTGCACAAGACAAGAACACGGACGCGGGCGTAAGGTGAAACCTGACCGAACTGAACTGAAAAAAAAAAAACCTTACCCTTTTATTATGATAATACTGTTGTAAATATAGTTAGCGCATTCTAGTCTTAAATTATTACGATCTTGTAAATTCTTATAAAGTAATTGAGGTAAATAATTTAGGAATTTTGTTTTATTGTATTATTGTAATTAGGGTAAATAATTTAGTTTATTGTTTTTTGTTGTTGTTTGTAGCTGTTAATTACCATATTGTCTTACTTAGAGAAATAAATATTTCTAGGCCTTCGTTTAGTTGTGTTGTGACGTGTCTTCTCGGGCTTGTTTATGTTTCGTGTTTGGTGTATGTTGGAGGGCGCCCACCTTTGTGGCGCGGATTCGTCACAGGCACCCGCGGCCCAGGGAGATCCTGGGAACAAGCCGTCACGCTCTATCATGTGCATTCTCTGTGTTAGATGGTGTTACGTGGCCACAAAACTAGGAAATACGATGGGAAAAGAAATGCGCCTCACTGGAACGCTGCAAAAAAAGATTCCAGAAAAGCAGACTGAAGAAAACTTTGACGGAATTTGAAATCTAAATACCGGGAATTGCCTCTGGCATAACCGCGCTATACACTATGAAGTACCTTCGCTTGCTTCCTTCGTGTAAAGCTACAGCAATTTTGTATTTAAGCATGAACTCTTCTATAGTCAGGAAAATAAATCATTAGCGTAACATTCAAGTTACTTCAGAGTCTTGTTTCATAAAACTTAAAGTAAAAAATATAAAGTTTAGTAAGTTTTTTAGGAACGGCATCCAAATCGTTCGTAGCCTAGTTCAGCATGCATTCAACTTTCAACTGTTTCCAGTTGATAATTTGGATATATCAACAAAGTTGAAATGGTAAATTGGCCACCGTAACGATTACAAAAGCTGACGTTTCGAGCGTTTGCCCTTCGTCATTCGCTCCGACGAAGGGCAAACGCTCGAAACGCCCCAAATAGTTTCTTTAGAAACTATCAGCCTTTATAGACCACGTTCATAACTAGCTGCCGGATTAATATTCTTTTGTTTAAATTCAAATTAGCCCTTCTGGCCTCGCTTGAGATAATGTATTCTTTTGAATTTCGTACTGGAGAACGAGGTCAGAAGGGCTAATTTAAATTTAAAAAAAAGAATATTAATCCGGCAGCCATTTATGAAAGTGGTCTATTTATTCCTGTTTCCAGTTGAGCTGGTCTGAGGCTGTTATTGCTCACAGTTGATGCAAGAGAGGTAACCAATCGTTTCGCACGCGAAAGTTTCCGTCAATAACCAGTTCGCCAACGTCGTAGCTCGGTTTATAAAACTGAGTCCTTTTGCAAGCAACCAAATAGGTCATTTCACTTAGGTGTAATGCTACTCGCAATGAGTCGTTGTAAAATGATCCTGGATATTTCAAAGTACTGGAATACAACAATACGTAATCAAACCGTAGGAAAGACACTTAAAAAGATTTTAATGATTCAATCAAATGCTGCTCTGATGTAGGCAGATTTAATTACTTATTACACAATTGCTCGAAAACATTTCTGGAACGCGCCAGTGTTTCACGCTTTTTTTGAGTCAACTGAGTCGATCATGTAACGCCAGATGGTTCCAAATGACACTTTAGGGAGAGCATTGAGATCAGAGTTGAAACCTTCTTTTGGAAATTTTCCATTTGTTTGAGGCTCTCTCTTATCAAGCAAACCAAGATCTGCTTTTTTCTTCATAATATTAGCGCCGTTGTCGGGGTCTCTAAGATATTTCTTGTCAAGGCCATTTTCTACATAGTGTTTTAGCCTATGCAAAACGATTTTAAATAATGTTAATGGAGTTCTAAGCAGACAATTTAATGTATAAAATCTTTAAGTGAATATGTTTTCCATCAGAAATATTAATGGTTTTTATGTGAGCAAAAGAAAGAGCTACGAAAAAGCTGAATTTGACCCTTTACCTGCTGACTAAAGCTGACTTTTTACCACTTGTTTTCGCTCCCCTACAAATCAGCCAGCGCTTTAGCTGTACCACACTGCATGCCTCTACATTTCTGTTTTGCAAAACAGCCCCAGGTATATCGTCTTCAGTTAAAATAAAGCCTTCTTCTTTAGTTTCTGAGAGCTTACTATCATTCGCAATGGACGCCATTTTGATTTCTGTCCAGCCAAACAATCCATGCATGCTTTGCGATCGCAGTTTCAGTCCCAGGCCCTTTTTCGTTTTGTTACCGGCGAATTGATTAGAGAAGTCTACAGGTCTCGGGCTCCCACATAAAGAATGATTAACTTTATGCGTCAAGTCTAAGTGATCAGGAGTTCATTTTAACCCAGCTGTTTTTACATCGGCGGAACTTATGCAACTGCTGATCGTACGCAAAATACCTTCAAGATTGAGACTAAATGCTTCGTTGACGTTATGATGGCTGTTTGATCGAAGTAAGTTTCGCGAGGACAAGAAATTCCGTGAAAGACGATTCCACTTGTTTGTTCTTAATAATTCCATCGCATGCACAGACGCAAACATAGCTCACTGTTGATCACGAGGTTATCTCGAATTTTCCGTCACACAGTACAGTAGACTTTTACACCTGGAGGACCCTTTCGTCATACCGTGACTGAATCAACCACCGCATGAGCATAGTAAATATGACGACCTCCTTAAAACCGTGTTTTCAAACGATACCAAAGTGTTATGATCCTTATCCCCCGACTTTGTGTCTATGTTATTTCTTTAGAAAGTAATCAAGTTTTGGCTTTTGCTTTAAGAGAAAACTAGCGAGAAAAATTGTCAAGTCGTAAAACAATAATAATTAATTAGCGCCGCGATGATAAACATCTTGCTAATTCTAGAAATCAGGGTACACTTTCGCTTTCTTGTTATGAGTACGCAACGAAAGCCAATCCGGCGAAAATCAGTGACTCGAAGGTATGGAAAAACGCTCAGCCATAATTTCGAGCTAGTAGCTACTTTGGATGACCGATGTACGCTCAGCCTTACTTTCGTGCTGGTAACTAGTTTGGATGACCGATACCGACGAGACCGACGAGACCGTAGACGCAGCATGAACGGGGCTTGCGACTATGATAGGTGAAGTGCATCCAGCGAAAGCGAAAAAGGAACTTGTTAGTAGGGGTCTAGTTCGATAGCTGGGATACGTATGGCGAACATTAAAAAACCGTTGCCCTGCTTCTTAGGACCTGTGAGAGCCAACTCGTGCTGAGTAATTATAAGTAGGACTTTGTTTGTGCTTCAAGGTTTTGAGCGTGCCACGAGTTGAGCGTGGAAGCCGTGAGTATCTTCAGTCAAAAACCTCTCGAAGCTTCACCGCTTCACCGATTTACCACTTTCATTACCGCTGGCTACACCGGTTACGAACTGACTAAGACGATAGCGAACTGTTCTTCAGCGGAAACACTCTAGTGCGAAACAATTCCAATGAAAGAGATGGTTTATAAGTTCACTAACTGCCTCATTTAGTTCATCCTCAAAACCTACTTTCAGCAATTATGCGACTCAAACGACTTGTGCTCCTTGATTCAATAATTTTAACCATTTGACCATCACTTTCTATGGGTTTAAAGAGCATATTGCATAAGTTACTATTTCTATTGTATTTTCATTGTTTTTTTTTTTTTTCGCTGTTTACATACCCTCTATATGCAATCCGCTGATTTAAATAATGGACACTCCAAAGACAAGTAATTCAACGAGAAGCCTTGTGGCAAAAGCCATTGACTGCCCTGCAAAGGAATTTGGTGGCGGTGTGAAGACGGTGGGTGAACTTGGCAGTCCTCAGAAGTTTCTTTACTGGCAATTTCCCAATTGGAGGACCAACAACAAGACTATCATGGTTCCTCCAGCCTACAAACCAACTGAGCCGGGCTACACAATTTCAAAAGATGGCAAATATGCTGATGAAGATGATGTCAATATAAGAGGAAGACAAGGAGAGAAACTAATGTACGATCGTCTGCAAAAAGCTGGCCAAACCAAGAACATAGGCATGTTCGTCATTCATGGATTTAACCTTATAGAAATCACCAGGTGGAATAAAAAATGCGAAAGTGAAGATTCAGTGCCTGAGTTAGATAACATACCTAAAACAGGGGAAAGCGACTTCATCATATTTCACCACGAGAAGGGAGTCATTCTATTCGAGGTTAAGAATTTGAAGAAGTCTGACAAAGAATTACTAGAATCCTCACATAGGGATGCTGAAATCAATAAGGCAAAAGATCAGCTGGATAGAACCAGACAAGTTGTTGAAGCTTTTGCTGTAGTAAACAACTCCAGCAATGAACAATCTGATCGTTTGGAGACACCTCCAGTGATGATGGTAATTGTTCTTCCTTCCACGAAGAGGGGTAGTCCACATTTGCACGTCAATGAAACTTCATTTATGTATGAGGAAGATCTTGCAAGTCTAGAAAGCTTTTCAAAGTGGTGGAGTGACAACATTGAATCACGTCCCTCGATGGCCTCCCCACCAGAGGCCAACAGGGCCTATGAATTAGCCCTATCAAGAATCTTGGCTGTACGACATCTTGGCCCTGTAACTGAGTCGGAATACACAGCTAACATAAGTTATACCTTGGACACCTTCAAGCACCTGGAAAACTTGGCCGGTAGGCGCTTCCGCAGGATCAAGGAAGGCGAAAACCCCCATCTCTTTCGCTGGTGCAAGTACATGATGTCTCAAGACAATCTCCCTGTTGCCAAAGTTGCAGAAAGAGAAGCTTTCGACACACTTAAAAGCGTCAATGTTATTGCTTCTGAGGCAAACCTTTTGAAGGCTCTCAATAAACATCTTTCAGATAAAAGGTTCCTTCTAGGTAGCAGGATGGCCCTTGAAGACAGAAAGATATTCCAGTACCTTTGGACAGTGTACATAATTGACATTGACAGCATCGCCAGATTCATGAATAGAGTTACTGATGCAAAGAAGAAACAAGTGATAATTAACAAGGGAAAAACCCTTACAGACCTAGGTTTAGCCAATACAGATGATGTCACCAAACTCAATGAGCTGTCACAGTTATTGGACAAAAGCCAAAGTGGATTTTTAGAAGGGGGATGCTGCACAAATCTAGACATTCAACTTTGTGAAAACCTGGCCGGAGGAAATGTTAGGATTCTGGCCCTTCCTGGAAAAAGGCCATGGGCACCTGTGTTTACAATGGATCAGCTTGCCGTGTTCGAAGGACCAAAGAAACAGCTTATCATCGGTGGACCTGGGAGTGGGAAGACAGAGTTGATGAAGGCGAAAGCTCTCATACTTGCCCAGAAGGTACCACCTGGAAAAAAGATTTTATACTTGATTCAAGGTGAGAAACAGAGGGTCTTCCCTAAAGTCATGAGGAAGTTTTTTAAAGATAACAAGGTAATGAAGTATGTCCATGTTCTGACAGTTGAGTTCAAGGGAGAAAATCGCGAGGCCTTTGAAAACCAGCAAGCTCAGTTAAAATGGGAAACATACAGCCATGTTTTCATCGATGAGCTATGGATTGGTTCAAAGATCAGGTATGAAATGCAGCAGGATGGCAAAATGGATTCTATCGACGAGCTCACAATTCCCAAACAAGCATTAGTCAGCGTTGAGGGCTATGTTTGGATGAGTTCTGTCTTTGACTTTCGAGAAGAGTTTTTTCCAAAAATTAGTGAAGAAAAAATCAGAGATAGGCTAAATTTGCAGAGGCTGGAAGGCAAAAAGAATTTGCTGTACGGAGAGCTCAATACACCGTCTCTTCTGGATACTCTGGCAAAAAGGGGAGGAATCATAAGTAGGATCAAGCACCCTTTAAGGGGTGTGAACAACATTGTAAAGCTGCTACAAGACTACAGTACCTTGTATCTTGAAAGAAGTTTTCCTTATGGAGTAGAAAACATGCTCAATCACAATGTGGATGGGCAAGAAATCAGCTGGATTGCTGTCCATTCAGAGAGGAATAATGTCTCAACAGAGAGAACACAACAAGCTGAACATTTACCGGTGGATAGGGATGATCTTACAATGTTGATGTACAACAAATGCGTGCAATTCATTAAACAAGTTCTCTGGTTCAATCAGGACCTTCGCCCATCTTTGTTGATGACAACAAGCAAGAGTCAGTTGAAGTTACAGCTTGATCCAGGTGATATTCTGGTTGTCAATTTCATTGCACGCTATCAGTCCAAACACAATTTAGGTGATAGCCTCACCTCCATGTTGGAAAAAATGAAAATTCCTGTCTGCAGCCTGAATGATCTTCAAGCATCCTCAGTTGAGGATGAATTTCTTGACAGCTCAGGTGGTGTGTCTTTTGAATTCAAAGTCAAGAAAGGATTCAGAATACATTGATGGTGCAGAGTGGCCTATGGTAATTGTGCTTCTAACACCTGAACTTCTGTTAAGTGACGGAAATGGTGGGTTTGAACCAGTTCGCAACTATGATCCATACATAGCCATGTTCCGAGCACAGGCAAAACTCGTTGTGATATCAGATTCATGGAGGTCATCCCAAGACTTCCTCAACAGTGTCAAAAAAAAGCCAAGTTAACTTGGAATCAAAAATGAGGCTCTGTTTTCCTAGCTTGCATAACTGGCAATTTCTTGGTGGCAAGCAGCAATCAGTTGGTTAAATGACAACAAATCAAAATGTAAGCATCACTCCCCAACATATTTTCCTTCATTCTTAACATAGTAACTATTGCATAGCTGATTCATAAAAAATGCAGGAAAATCATTAATCATGTTACCTGTAAAAGACACTTTATCCTATCGGCAGGAGTGACAATAGCTGCTGCACAAAACCCACCAAACATTCCAGAGGTAAAGTTTTGGAAATTTCTGTTTGATTAAAATTGATGATAACTTTATAAGTTAGATAGATTTACCAGTAGTTGATTATCAGAGGGTCTGAAGTTAGCAATAATGATCATTAGGATTGGCCTGGGAAAAAAGCCATAGATACATGCTTCCTAGTAAGTAACAATATTAAAAGCCATAGATACATGTTTCCTAGTAAGTAGCAATATTAAGGTCTTGTATACAAGTTTCATTTTTACTCTTATCAGGTAATGCTTTTCTTTAGTTGCCCCCTAAGGGAGCCTAACATCTTATTTTTCCTCCCTGTATCTTTGCTGAATCAAACATTAAGGTCATGAGAATTAATAAAGGAAATGTTTGCCAACTTAAAATTGATAGTCTTCTTGAATAAGCTTTTGAGTGATAAACACATTCTCCCAATCCATAATGTAAAACTATATAAAACAGTAAGGAGAACATGCATATTGATGTTATAAAGTATGGGGTTAAAATTATCTGAGATGCTTTCTTGACTGGTTCAAGCAACATAAATATTTGCTATTTTCCTTTCATCATGTATTTGACAACTGTGACCAGAGAGGAAATAAATAAATCTTTGAGGAGGAAAAAAAAAAACCATTAAGAAAAATTCCCTTTATTTGCTGATGGCAGTCAAAAGTAAATAGTTTGCCCATTTGAGTCAGCATAAGGAATTTTTGCAAGGTACAGATTACCATTGGGAAACAAGCTCACAAATATGCACAGAAGTTTGCTCAAGCTCAATTGGCAGCTGCTCTTGGTTTTGAGAGAAAGGGAACTCAAGGAATCTTTCACACCAGCTTCAATTTTAACTCTGTGAACAATCATCCCAAAGACCACTAATGCACCTACCTAAATTTACCTTTCTCTTCTTCCACTGCCCCAACTATCTTTTTCTCAGATAAATTCCAAATGGAATAACAATGCAGGACAGTACTTACGTTGGAATGCCATGAGGATCCTCCATCTGCATTCTTCTGGCCAGTGAAACAGCCCAGAACTGGATTGCATTAAGGGGTGTGGCAAAGGCAACTGGTGTGAACAATCCCTTGAATAATCCATGGACACCCTTCAAATAAGATCATGATAACAAGATAATTACATTTGAACCTGCCTCGAGCGTTGACTAATGGGGATTGGTGGGTTGACCCCTCAATCCAGGTTTCACAGAATCTAGAATATTGAAAATAAAAAAAAAAAGGGTAAAAAGGCCATTTTATGCTACTAATAACCTGTCGATGTACAACAACTCACTCAAAAATACGAATAACATTGATTTTGGAGGATAAACAGGGATTAAAGTTTTATTTGAGCAGTTCCCCTTTAAGTGACCATTCAACACAAGTAAAGGACATTACAAACAACTGCCTTTGGGACTTTGAAAACCCACCAATTCATACAAGGTGAAGTGAATTGTGTAGACACTTCTCCTAGTTTCTACAGGAAGAAGCAATAGGAGAAGTATTTCTTTCACTTAAAGAAGGCTACCAGCCTTTCTCAAATCACCAGAAAACCATGAATTTACCAAAGTTATCACCCTTGACTTTAAGGCAGACAGGCACGGTGTCAGTTCACTTATCAAGAATGTAACAAAGAGGAAGTAACATCATGACCCACACCCATACTACTAATAAAACGGAGTCTAGGGAGCTAACTGCTGAGCATATCCCTTACAATGAAACTCCCTTAACCTTTCCACTTCTAGAAATGACCAACAGGGAATTTCTCCATACAATATCCAATGTATACTTAAAAGCAAAAAAGTCATGAGAAGAAAGAAAAATATCAACAAGGGGGTATTGCTTAATTTCACATCCAATTCTCAGAACTATATTATCATAATGAACATATAGAAGGTAATGTACAAAGACTATAGATTGAAATCTTGGGTGTGATAGGGTTTAATGCAGTCATATTCTATATATAGCCACAAAAACTGCTATTTTGGAGAGGCAGCTAGGCCAAGTAGTCTGGTAATTAAACTGCATTTCCTGGAGCAAGGCCCCTACTCAGCTGCTAACCAAGTTTAGTCTAACCCTAACCCAAGTTCAACTTCTTAGCTATGCTCTGCAATTTTATACCAAACTGGTCTTCCTCGAATCAGTTGGGATTTTTAACTATTTTTTATTTGTGATTGTCCAAGTGTGTGTAGTCCTGAGAAGGACGACTGTAGTCAGTGGACTCTGATGATGGCTTCTGCTCAGGTTGTCAAAATGTCAGTCGTCACCATTGATAGCAGTCCTTCTCAAGACTACACCCACCCAGATGATCAGGCTTGGACTATCACATGTAACCCCCTGGTTCAAACCATTATCACGATTACAGCTTTATTAAGTCACCTGTAATACATCATCATTGTCACTACAATTATCATCATTAGCAACTACCTCATTACGTAATGTTTTCAACAAGCAGTCAAGAGTTCCCTTAAACACAGCTTCCTGCCCAGGTTTTGGTGATGGGGTTGTTTGAATGCGAACCTATTCAGCAGAACAAATCAAGACATGATAACAATTAGCATAATTGGCCTGGAGATTATAGAGATGTACTCACTCTGATTGATCAAGGATTGGATCATATCTCCCTATAATCCCTTCATGCCAGGTGATTATCGGTAAATTTAAAAAGGGCTACCTCTGGTTTTTTTCTCAATGTTGAGCAGGGAGTGATTAATGCAATACAAGAAAATACAATTTGTGAAGAGCACAAAGATGTGACTAAGTTTGGCATTACACTTTTCAAAAGAAAAATCAAGTTTTTGCTGATTAGATCAGAAAAACCTGTTAAATTCTAGACTGGAAACTGGCTGCTTATCTCAGTACAAGTAAATTAGTGATAAAAACAATTGTTACAGAATGGTTTCAACAACAAAACGAATTTATAACAGAATTAAAAAGCACCTGAGCATATATAATAAAACAATAATTCACTTCCCTTCACCTTGGTAATTCCTATATACCACACAAGTGAATGGTGTTTTTCACGCGCGCTGATTGGCTAGGTTCGAAGTGAATAAGTGGCACTATCCAACCGTGCAGCCGAAGAGCCAAAATCGCGTGTCACGAATTAAATTACCGCCCTTTTTTTCGGTTTATCGAAAGAAATAATCTTATTCTTGGGTATCTATGTGGATTATACTACAAAAAATATTCACCTCAGTGTCGTTGAAATTGGTGGATATTTACCTCCCCGCTTCGTCATTGGGTAAATATCAACTGCTATTCCCCTCCTCTTCGGTAATAATAATTGTTAATTAATTAAGACTGAAATTTGTCAATGTGGAGACCGGTAGTATTCCCTCGCAGGGAATTTGAATAAAAACATTAATTCAGCTTCAGGAGCTGTTATAATTCAGGACGGGTAACCAATTGTGGTTTTTTCCTTCGAGTGTCATCGTCAAATGTTAACGTTTTTGCAATCGAGTGTACCTCGTTCGTCCTACGAATCACACTTGGACGTGTAAATCGGGGTTTTGAAAATTGAATCTGATGGACCTTACCCCTCAGTCGAAAGACCACGGTCATCCGTAGAAATTATGAAATTATATATCTTGCTGCATGGACGGGGCACAAAGTATTGATTACCGAAAAAAAAAAAAAAAGCAACATCCACGTAAACAATGGAACAAACATTTATATCAATTATTATACAAACCACACGTATGAGCAAAATATTCGAACCTTGATTGTATCAAACGGATGTCCTATAGTCACACCACAGACTCCGCCAAATCCTCCAGCAAAAAAATTTCGTACTCCAGAGGTACTCCTGCCTTGTTGCACTTTACCTCCGGATTCTATTTCTACTCTGTTGGAGGAACTTTCCATTTGCCGGCTGTAAATGGGAAGGTCTTTGCTTCGACTCTGTTTAAGGTTTCATGGTGACTGTCACGCCATCACTTATAAGCTTCCGGTTGACAGTCTGGTAGCTAGTCAACCCAATCCCTCCCGGTCACTGCCACTTCCCACTATATGTGCATATTGGTTCAAGGGAACTAGTCTGGGGCACGCTAGCAAAAATCATTCGGAATTCTTCACATTTGAGACAATATCTCTTTTAAAATGTCAGAGGTAGGAGAGCATTGTTTATAAAAGTTAACTTTCTCCACAGTGCAGATTGATCCAGAGATTATTGCATAATTGTACCGCTTTTTCGTCAGGCCTTTCAGAAAGCTGCTGACGAGGTGAAGAAGTTGGCGAAAACACCCAGCAATGAAGACATGCTAGAAGTTTATGCTCTTTACAAGCAAGTTACCGTCGGAGATTGCAACACAGGTAATAAAATAAATTCTCGCTTTCGTGTTGTTTCAGGTCGATTTTATTGAGCTGCTTTTCGAATACGGAAAACGAAAACATTTGCCCAGAGTCGATCACTCATATGATTCTGTTGCTACAATAACCTTTGCTCTTATTCTTAACGGACTTTAAACCTAACCAAGCAATGTATTGCAGTGTCATCGAAAGAAGAGGAGCCAATTGGTCTTCTTTGGTTTTCTGAATATTAAACCATTATAATCATGTTATTCTCAAGAAGTGTTTTAAATGTCCTTGAAAGACCTTACACTAAACACGCCTCTTAATATAGATTAATTTGGCAAGATTTCCATATAGCCCCATACGTTAATTATGCACAGAGTGTTGCAAAGAAACATTTACATTTAGCCTTTACGAAATGGAATGTAGAACTTAAATTTTCATCGGCCATTTGCATTTGTTTTTCTAATTTGAAGTGGTAGTACTCTCAATGGCTTAAACCCAGGGAAAAAGAAGAAAAAAAACTTTTTCTAACGTTGTTGAATTTCATGGTATATGTCTTATTATTAAAAACTGGATCATTGGATAATTCAATTCAAGACTTTTCATTGGCTTAGCCATTATGGTTTTTGAGCCAATATACCATAATCTAAAATCTGTACAAAATTTTTGTAACATCCGGTTTCTCCTTACAAAATAAAGTCAAGAAGATTTGTCCAATATCTTGTGGGCGTTCAGGACTTTTTTTTTTTAAAGACAGAGTGGAAAGAGGCATGGCATGTGTTAAGATTTAGTGCAAAAATCTACTGCAGTAGTTTTACTTTGAGACTAAAGCATCAAGCTTAAGCATAAATCCTTTATCTCCCACATGTGACCAAGACAGAAATTCTCCTTACATTATCAATACAATATCAAGTGGACCAGTGATGAGAACTAAGAAAAATATAAATTAAGGGATTATTAGTTCATCCAATAGCAAATTATCTGAAATAATACCATAAGAAATATATGGCAGACAGCAAGGAGAATCATTAAATGAGATCTAGGAATTGTAAAGTTTAAAAAGGGCACTACTAGTGAAGTCTCCTAAATTGCATTTTTCAGCTAACATTGATGGCAAACTTTTTTTGTAAACTGGGATGGAACTTCTGAAAAACTGGAGGCAGGGCTGTCAAAACCCAATTGTCCAAGGTCTAGACAATCTGACTAATTAACTGTGGCCTTTGGATAACAAATACCACAGTTTCATTCAGACAAAGTTGACTATTTTGCCCATAACCATTCCAAGTCATTTAAGACTGATAGAATTATATCGTAAATCCTTGAATCAGCATCTTCCCTTGCATGAAAAAGTGTCTCCTTTGAAATAATTTTGTCACAAAATATCATTCTAAGAACACCTGAGTTTACCCAACTTTAGGTGTGATCTAAATGTTGATGTTTGTGAGCAGGGTTAAGAGGGCTACCACAGTGGTACAAATGAAAAAAAGACCTGTTGACAATATTTAGTAACCATAAAAAGATCATTAGATCCAATAATTGCTCAAAGCTATGGCCCAAGGTAAACATTTTGTAGTAACAGGCCCATACCAAAAATCTAAACTCTTTACCATACCACTGAAACATTTTCAAATTGGTGAGGAATTTTTGAAGGATATGTTTTTGTATAAATTTAGTGCCCAGAGAAGGTTTATACCTCTTACTAACCAAGTTGGGGATCTATACTGTAAGTTACAGACTGAGACTTTTCTTCTCCAATTTACAACCCAAGTATGAAGTCAGTGCATCTGCTAAAAATCTGAGCAGAAAATAGAGATCAAGTTGTTCCATGGAAAGTACAAAATGGGATAGGAGAATTTAATTTCATAGAAACTTTTGAATTTGGGAGGCTGTACAGTAAAATATGGCCCACTAAATTAACTTATAATTCATGTACATACTTAGTTATATAATAAACATCATTGTGTTTCTCCTTCTTAAAACTTTTGTTGACAATTAGAAATTTTTAATGAGGTTGCTAATTTTTAATATATTTTCTATTTGTTTTGATTGTCCGGGTTCCAAAATCTGCTAATTCTCCAGTTTTTGATGGCCAATGTTTCTTCACAAGGAATCAATGATAGCTTCTTGCTTTATGTTTTTACTATTTCAAGTTTTATTACCCACTCTGTGTATACTGCAGCTCCTATGAATCAAAATGTTAACAATTTTTTTGGAATTTTATGGTTTAGAATCATATTTATCTCCCTGCAATCTCTCTCTTGTTGACAGAAAGACCTGGATTTTTGGATATGACTGGAAAAGCCAAATGGGATGCCTGGAATGGCAAGAAAGGTACTGGAAACTGTTCTTATCTTAGAAATCTAAGTTAAAATGCTGATGTAAGGTTGTAAGCTTTGAAAACAACATTTATGAACTTCAACCTTGTTATGGTGTATTATTGTTTGTCTCACTCTGGAGTTACCTCTGATGCAGATCAGGTTTTTCTTTTCACTGTGTAGAGTCTTTAGCAAAAGATTTGTTCCCTCTATCTCTGGTAATCTAATTATAATTTGCTTATTTAGCTAACAGGACACCAAGAAATTCTCACAGGGGCCAATGCAACTGACATTTTTTCTCTGGCAACTGAAAGTTCTGGTCTAGGTATCACCTTGCTGTCCAGTTGTTGGAAGGCCAACTAGCACTAATTTGACGTTGAATTTTAATCCAGATTCTCTATTTCTCTATTCAAAAGTCATATTTGGGATAGTTTTCCTTGTTGGTTTTAGAGTATTCAATGATCACCAAATTGTAGACAAAAAAAATGAAACTGAGTTTTCTTTTCAAGCTTTCAGATCTGAATTCAAATTTCACACTAACCCTGGGTTATCTTAATCCAGCTTTGAACAGCCCAGTCCTATATGTTTTAAAACAAGATTTAAACAAGTTAACTTCAAAACTACCTCATATTTTCTGGTTTTGCATCTGTCTTCAGAAAAAATAAAAGAGGAAACATGCACAACAAAGTCTGTTGACATTTAACACCTCCATCTTTTGACACACATTGTGCATAAGTGATGGCTGTTCCTTTTTTTTTTTTTTTTGCGTTCATCATTGTAAAGCTAAATTTGTGGTACTCACAGGTTCATGCAGATGCAGCTTTTAAATTCCATTTTGGTGACCATTTTTTTGCCACTAAGGTGCCAAAAGGTGATAAAAGATTTTTTTATTAGTTTAATTTGGACCCTGTCTCACTAACATAATTTATACTTACTTGCACTGACAGTAATTTCACATTTTGCCAGAGTAATCATTCTAACTACAATGCTTATTATAGTCCATTTTTACAGTTGTGTCCTTTGTTGCCAAACCTTTGATTTGGAGTGAGGCTGAAGGTGACCTTGTTGTGATGGAGACCAGCATCTAGTTTGCATGACAACAAAATCAGGGCTCGACACCAATGGTAGCCCACCAGCCACAGACCAATAGAAATTCAGTTGTGGCTAGTGGTTTTTGATTTCTACTAAAAGTCAGTTTGGCTAGTAAACAAACTGAAATTGTTGTAACATCTGAGATGGCACTAGCCACTTGGCTATGTCAAGCCCTGAAAATAATTTACATTTGAAAAGCAGCAACGTTTGTAACACAAAAAGATCACCCTTAGCCTCACTCCTGTTCAAAGGCTTGGCAACCAAGCACACAACTGTAAAAATGGACTGTTACAGCTTACACGCTACATCCAACACTAAGTTAAATTCATTAGCTTTTCATTTTTTTTTTTTCTACCTCATCAAATAATATATTTTGGAAGTTAAGTAGGTGTGCAAGTTGCAAAACAAGACATCTCAAACATTGCTGACACGGCTTTATTTTGGATGAGACACATTTCCTACTTTTTCTTTTTTCAGGTACAGCCAAAGCAGAAGCTGAGGCAGCCTACATTGCAAAGGTGGAGGAAATGAAGAAAGTATATAGTTGATTTTTAATTGGAAATAAAGACTTTTTTCCAGAAATTGATCACTGTTGTATCTGGGTGTGGCACACTTTTTGTTATAACACTACCTCTAATTACAGATCAACATGCGTAAGAATTAGATGTTTCTGTGCATAGTTTTCAAGGTTTTAAGGGAGAGTTTTCCTCATTATTATTATTATTATTATTCCTGGTAATATTTTCTGCATTTCATATGATTTCTAATTGTGTGAACTCAAGATAGCACTGTAACTTAATCTTCATTATAATTTATCATTTTCACACCCTGCAGTCCACTTCTCAATCTCCACTTCTCAATCTCCACTTCTCATTTTACATTTCCAAGCATCCATTCTCTATTAGTCAACGTTCCCACTTCCCTTTTCTCATTTTTACTCCCACTCTCAAAATTTCATCCCTTACTTTTCATTCCAACCTACTATTTTCCCACTTCCAAGTCCACTTCCCACTTTTTGGCTTCCCAGTCTCCACTTACCATTTTCACTTTCCAGTCTCCTTATGCGTAACCTGCGTTTCACTCCATGAGTGCCCGTCTCCCATTCACAATTTTAAACTCATACCCCTCCACTCTAAGGGAAAAAGTAAACAGCCCTGCACACGCTTTCTTAAAAAAAGAGGAAAATCCCCATATGAGGGCCGTACGCGGAGGCGTGAAAAAAGCCGTCTGGAAGCCGTATTTTCCAGTCCAGCCCGACCACACAATTTATAACAGCAAAGTACAATGAGAAAGCTAGACTTCAAAGACATGGGTTTTTAAAGGCTTTATTTAAATAAAGTCTGCCCTGCTTAGCTCTTCAGTCCCAGCCTCTTACTCCTTGTCAAAATTAGCCTTTTTCCAAAGTTCCTTTGGGATTGCGTTCAGACTCCAGGTGTTTGCGATGTTCAATTCTCAGTGCTATTCCACTCTCAAAGAAACATCAACCTCATCTCGAGGACGCTTATTTTTTTCACCCTAATAAGAGGGTCTTGGGCGCTTTACTGGTTCAAGTTCCGGCCCTTACCATTTCGCCCCTATCCTGGCGAGAAGCCCTCCCCAAGCTGAAATTAATCGAAACTGCCCCTAGACGATGTCTGATTGTGAAATTCAAAATTAAACAGACTTTCCTTTCAGCGAATAAAGAAAAAGACTTCTATTATTAGTGAGCCGAGCGAAACTCTGGCAGACTGGGTATTCAACGGTTCCGTGTGGCGTGCTGGTCCCATTTTTAATTTTTTTTTCACTGAACTTTTTCGGACTCGCGCAGCGGACTTCACCGAAAAAGGAGGAGCTGCTTGTAGTCTACCAAGAAGATATGAAGCGATCTTGAAAATCTTTAGCACCACCGTTCCGAGATAAATTGTCCCAAGATAAAGGATAGAAACGCGCAACATGTCGAGGCAGACTCTACCCTCACACACACACACACACACACACACACACACACACACACACACACACACACACACACACACATACACTCACACACATATTTATATACTGAAATAAATGAAAAACGAAATTCCTCTTTTTCTTTCTCTTTCTCTTTGCTTTTGCGCAAAAGAAAAGAGAAAGAAAAAGAAAAAGAGGACTTTCGTTTTCATTTATTTCGGTATCTTTATTCGACACAGAAGTTTAGAGTTTGTTTACATTATATATATATATANGACGCCCACAATAAGTCCGCCCTCGCAAATAATTCCCAATCGCAAGAAAAATCATGCAATTGTAGAGACAAACACTCTTGCCCGTTACGTGGCAATTGCCTAATTCAAAATGTGGTCTACCAGGCCACAGTTGAAAGTCCCTTGGGAACCCAAACGTACGTCGGCCTTACTGCGAACCAATTTAAAACAAGATTTAGAAATCATACAGCTTCATTTAGACACGAGAACAAAAGGAACGCAACAGAGTTGAGCAAATATATCTGGTCCCTAAAGGATGCTGAAACGGAGTTTTCCGTGACCTGGAAAATAATAGCTCGTGCCAGGCCGTACTCAAATACCACGAAGAGATGCAATCTTTGCATAGCTGAAAAATTCTTTATCATATGCAGAACAGGGGCGGGTACCCTAAACAAAAGGAACGAACTGGCGAGTGCGTGCCGGCACTCATCTAAATATCTGATAAGGCTGCTCAAACCACCTACTTAAAAGGTCCGTTAGTCAACTAGTGCCTTATCCACCTGACGAGAGAGGACTTTTCCTTTCGAAACAGATCTGTAGTATCAAGTTTTAATTTTTATTTTCCTAAATAATCGTTTACAAAGCTCCATATGATTGTAGAGCACTCTGCGATTCAAAGATAAGGTTTTTTACATTTTTATTTATTTATATATATATATATGTATATACATAGGTCGTTAGTGGAACTCTCAGGCCAACAAAGGTGCACCGCGCCAGGAGGATCAATAAAGATTCGCAGTCCAAACCTCACAGCAAATACGAACGTAGAAAGTTTAAAAATCGCGAGGATGGACAACTTCTGACGACAAAATATAAAAAAATTTAATAAAAACGTTTCGGTCAGAGACCTTCTTCAGTTATTTACAACTTTTGAATTAAAAAAAGAACATTAAATAAGATCGAAGTGCTAATGATTACGTAATTACAGATAACGACTAATGAACTGGTGCTAATAAAAAGTTATCTTTTATTAGCACCAGTTATCTTTTTATTATTTTTGCATACACAACCCCACAATTCCTCTATTCGCTCCGACGAAGGGCTAACGCTCGAAGCGTCAGCTTTTGTAACCGTTACGGTGGCCAATTTACCATTTCAACTTAGTTGATATATCCAAATTATTTCGTTACCCCCACCGACGCAGCCCCAAACAGTTTCTTTAGAAACTATCAGCCTTTATTCTATTATAATAGTTAGCCTGCAAGGGAGTTTAACTAGAACAGAAGTAACTACTGATCCGCTAATGAGAGTCGACCCAGGCCCCTGAAGTCGATGGCAGCACGTTCGCAGCCAGCTAGCTGCAGGCTCCCTAATCGGTGCTCTTCTTTACGCTTGGCGTAGCATTAAATGTTTTTCACGCATTGTTTTGCAGACAAGTCTTCGCTTCACCGAGCAAATTATTTTTTAACTGTTTCTCCTCTAGCTTTATAAATATTTTAACTCACCGCAGTTCAGTCCAAATTAAAGATTGCCGAGGCAACAACTTTTATTGCCCTGTCTCGTTTCTTGGGAATTAGTCGAGTTACCTTGCCATTCCACTCGATGAATTATTTCCTTTCCGAACTTGATTTTTCTGTTTCGGCACATCTTAATTAATCCATTTCATTTTTTCACGTTGGGACTTTCTTAACAGTAATCCTTGAATTTAAAACTAAACGCAATTTTTTTACAAAAAATACTTATTGAAAAATTAATTTGAAAGTAACCCAGTTGTCACTACCTGTTCCCATTGTTTTCTCAGCTTTGATTGTCAGCAGGTGTCAAGTGGGAAAATTAGCTCCTGTAGTTTTGTTTTGTAAACTCAGTTTAGTCTATTTCTCATTTTCCCCGATTCGCGGATGCAGAAGAGGGATGGGGACGAGTTATTTCTCGGCGAAGGGAACTGGACGCGAAAGCATGGCTACCGCCGGAGTCGAGTACGGAAGATCACCATCGCTTATTGACTGGAATTTAAGCAGTGGCGGATCCATTCAGACCCCCCCCCCCCTATCAGACTTGACGCTTACAACTTTGAGACTGAAATTCTTACATCCGCAGGATCGTAAATCACTTTAACTGGCTGATTTTTTTCATTAATGAATCCAAGTAAACGGTAAGTGGCCAAGAAATTATAACGTGCAACCGCGACTGGTGGGAGGGGGTGTGGGGGAGAAGTAATTTGCCTCAAAAGAGTCCAACAGTCCTTTCTGAACCAAAGTTTGGACCCCTCCAATCAAAAATTCCTGGATCCGCCCCTGTTAAGGGCATCGCAGTGGTTGAGCCGAACTGAAAATAACTCCTGCATGGATTAATTGGTTTTCTTCTTTGCACTTACTGGACATTTGTCATGTGGGCAATTAATGTTTCAGCGACTTTGCCTAATTTTCTCTCGACCAGATGCAGATCTTGCTTTCATTTACACCAACGGTAAAACCTTACGCATACACTTTATAAACCTTGGTTGGCCCATGATTTTCCCCACGAATAGCTTTAGATCCGACAGTTTTCAATTTAGGACCCATACCGATGAGAAGAATACCATCGGTGCGATTATGAAATCCTCGTCAATATTTTTATTCTTTTTCAACTTTCATTTCGTGCGTTGTTGTCTATACTCTCACCGGAAGCAGCGTCCTCGTAGCGGAAATCACAAGTGTTGGGCGGAAATGGAAATGATGCAAGCTTTATTAATTATTGAGTACTGTGTCAGCAGTACAATCTCCTGCTATTTAAGGATACAGATCTGCATGTTTACACACGCTTTCGTGCATGACCGTTAATTACGAATGTTAGTAGCGATAGAACATAAAAAAAGAAATTATCATTGTTAGCAAATAGAGTATATCGTCTTCCGCTTCCCAATATTACCTCGTTAGTATTGTAAGCATTTGCGAGGGTTGGAGGAGGAAAAAAAGTAGGTTATAGATCAAAGACCGTGTGACTTGTAAACTTTTCAATCAACCTTCCTATCCGGTCTGCATTATTTTTAAAATGCATTTTTAATCTAATAACAAGAAAGTTAAATCATAGTTAACCTGCGATGCGATCAGGCCTTCTTTCTTTCAAGGGGGTGCGAAGTCGGCGCTCGTTTTTTCTTCCGTTCGCCGTGCCACACTGTCGCACTCCACCGAAAAAAAAAAAAGAAAGGCATGGTAAAGTAACAATTGAGACACTTAAACTCAAGAGGTTAGACTTATCGGGCCTATGCAAATGAAAATGAACTTGAGGACAAAACGATGACAGAAAAACATCATAAGTCTATAGAGTATCAAATTCTTTTCTTTTTTCAAACTAGTGGGGCTACATTCCTAATTGACCATGTTTATAGCGGCTCATCAACCAGAGTAGGCGATAGATGCCCCTCGGATTTCTTCATCAGGGTGCTGCCGCCCGGCTCTCTGAATCCTGACTCTAAGTTGTTTACCACACCCGTTTTCAGACCTCTCTTTAAGAATCCATAACCGTTAATGGACCTGGTATCTGTGCTGATATCAAGATCGATTTGGCTCCACTCGAGGTTTGCGCAATTGACATTAGCGCTGGTTACTCCCTCCTCTCCTCTTTGTCGATCATTTTGAGCAGAAGATTGATACATTTACGAATAGACGCTTTTCGTGATCTTTGCGGTTTCCATGCAAACCACTTCCGTGATGGACAAAATACATACCCGTTTCAGCACATAACGGATCAAAAACCCAAACTGTTCCGAGCGGCAAATCAATTACAAGTTGGCTTTAGCAAGTAACAGCCTAATTCTTCATCATCTGGGGTTCTGCGTAATCACTCTCCTGTGGGAATGCTGCCATTTCCATACGTGTAATGTTTAGTAGCCAAATATATCCATTGAAATAGATATCTTTTTCATCAATTTTCCTTACGAACGTCCGTCATGAAATTAACGCTAGCGCTCTTGATTTCTCCCCAGTCGTGCAAGGCGTGATCGTGTCTGGAAGTCGTTACAAATGCAGATAGGTTAAAGCTCATTTCCGTTGAAATATTTTTAAAAATGCTATCTCAGTTTACACGAGAGGAAAGTTTAGGTTATACAAATGACTTCATTAGAGCCGAGTTACGGAAAGATAAGATATTCTTAAGCCGATATTTCCAACATGAAACTTTAAATAGATATATTGGCTTGAATTCAATAATCTATTGCAAAATTTTTTCTCCATGTAATGGTCTTAAAGAAACAAAATGTAAATTTGCAAATTTATCTTGCCTTGGGCCAATATAATTAAGCGATTGTTTTCCCCGTTCTAGCTGTCACGCACAACAAGTCTTGTTTGAAAGCAGATTTTTTGGCACGATAAAATCTTGTCAAGATAATACTAGTTAGCGCTGTAAGTCAGTGTCTCGTTGAAATGTAAAAGAGGATTAAAATAAGAATTAGAATTGATTGCTGATTGAGGGAAAGTTCTTAATTTAAAATACAAAACTTGTTTAAGGGCATTTACAAGCGAAAGACTCGTTATCGGTTTGCCGTAATGTCTACGGGCAATTTCTTGCTTAATTTGCGATCTTAGACACGGAAATTTAGATGTTGATCTCAAGAATGTTAAGATTTCAAGACCTGATAAAAAGATCTTAGGAAAGCCGAGGTTCTGAAACCGCAATGTCGTTGTAACTTCCGCTTCGCGGTTTCTGCCCTCTGAATTCTAAAAGATCGCTGATTCTTTCATTGATCCTTTTATGCAAACATGTGTTATAATTGACAGAATTTTGGTGCACGTTTGAAATAATTATTCACACCTATTTATTATGTTATTTAATCGAATATTGTTTACTCTACAGTAATATGATTGGCTTGGAAAAAGGTTGGCTTCATCTCGGTACGTTGAAGGCATTCCTACCCACAATGCTCTTGCGTCTGTGGAGGTGGACATAATGGCTGACCAAGAGGGATCGATCGTTATGTGAATTCATAGCGTTATCTGGAAAAATGACCGGGAAATAGCGGCCTTAACTCTCGAAAAGTCATATTTGCACATTATTAACTCTGTAGGGAAATATCTAAGCAAGGCTTGGGACCATTTTGGAGTCGTTTGGCCGTATGGAGTGAATTTACCGGCTATCATGATGTACGCGTACAGGGAATATTTGCCGATGAATCACATATGAAACTTGCTCATTCATCGCAGATCGCCGAGGTTTTTAGTAAGATTTTGCTCTGACAGTCATGAATCCTGATCCAAGAGAGTGTAATATCAAGGTTTTTTCTCGGTTTCGACCGCAATCTGACGCAGAAGTTCGGGCGGGAGGCGAGAGTGTTGTTTCAACTCCAACTTCGGATACTTGTGTTCATGCGGTGAGCCAACCACTTGCTATCATAATTGAGTCCCAAGGTTTTTCGAAGTAATCCTGGTATTACTTTTGTCGCTGATAACTCTCATCTTTGTCTTGTGCCTTTTAGGGAAGAACATACACCTTTGATCGCGTTTTCAAGTCCAACACATCACAGGAAAGAGTTTATTTGGAAGCTGCTCAGGTCATTGTACAAGGTCGGTCGAGTAATGGTTTTTGGTGATATTTTTTTGTTATTTGGTTGTCGAGTAAGGCAACAGTCTACACCAGAGTCGAAAACAGGCTTCTTAGAGGCCGCTTTGTCCTCTAGCCCTTCGGGATGTAAGGCCTTTGAAGTGTACGAAACGCGATGGCATGATATTGTGTGCAGTCAAAGGGCCTTTTTGACTGTTTTCAATTTCGCGTAAGTTTCAGCGCAACGCTTTCTACGACTGCAAAAATGTTCCATACTTTGATATGAATCGCAGTGTCTACGTAGCCCATAAAATGTAGAAAAATTATCTATGTTATCATAAGTTTTTTCAGGGAACAATCTTATTCAAGAGCAGCCTTTTTTCGTTAGTTTTCCCTTCCTAGCTACTAACTGCCACTTAGCAAAAATGTTTTCATAATTTTGCCTTCAAACCAGTGAAAAATCTGTTGCTGTCATCCAAAAAAAATTTATTGGTTGTTTGAGCACCTAAATAAACATCGGTAACGGGAATCAGTGCTTTAAATCTTGTCCAAGCTAAAAAAAAAATGTTACTTGACCGTCAACTTTATAGTCAAATAGTTGTCAATATTCCTTTTGGCAGCAGATTGTAGTTGCCATGTTCTTCATAAGTTTAGACTTGTATTATTAATTTATTTACTGTGGCTTTGATTTTGCAATGGAAGCGTATGAAAGACATATATCGGATTTCTTTTGTTGGTAATTTGCGGAGTAAGAAGTGATCGGTCTCGTATTTTGTCTATCTCGTTAGCTTCTTGTGAGATTGTGAAATTCTGTGCACGGTTGCAGTCGACACACTCTTTGGGTAAACAACTCACTTGGAGGGAAAGGAGAATCATTTGAATATGTATAGCCATAGAATTAACGATTGTTGGTACAGTTTCGGAGAGATTTAAATATTAAGGAAAGAGATTCTTTTTCGTCGACATCTAGATCGAGTCGACGCAGTAATTGGGCTGTTTTGGAGATTTTTTGTATTGTTCTACTGTGAGCCGTAGTACGTACTAGCACTCGTGCAATAAACGAACTTTAAATATTCGTGTTTGATCACATGGCCTTATTGAAAAGGAATTTTTCTCTTCCTGTGTTCTCTTTTAGTTGGAATAAATTTCAATTCTTTTTGTCTTTTCTTGGCGTCTTTTCAGAGCCGTTTGAATTTCTAACCTTTTAGTATCAATTTAAATCGAAGCGATCCGAATCCGTTCTTTCTGCCTTTAGCCCTGTTCTTGAATAGCTCTGTAATATTCTAGATGTGTCCCAAATAGTTAAATATTGTCCTTTTTGTATGCTAATTCATGCCAGCTAAAATCTTGTTATGAAAATCGATCGGTGATCAATGAGATATGATGAAACAAGCTAGGTGGATGTATTCTAATTTTTGATAACAAAATTTCCTATAATGTTTAAAATTCTCTGACTATTCCTGTTCGAGCTTTCGACGATCGATACAAAGCTAATTTTAGCATGAGTTGCGGCCTTTATTTGATTAAGCTTTACTTTGAATTTCGGGGATGATACACTTCACAAACATAATTTCGAACTTTGGTGGAATGCGAGGACGGAAAAATTAGGTAACAGATCAAATTTTTTTTCCGTGTATATGAAATGGTTTCTCGATCATTCTTTCCGTTCTTTAGCTCTCTTAAGATTAGCATCATAATTAAGGTACTTTTGAATATTTTCCAGACAGTATACAGAAAGATGCCCATTATGTACACGAACATCTTCACACATAATTTAGTTACTTCATGCACTGTAATCAATTTCAGGAAAATTTACATAATGTAACATACCCTATAATTTTCTTCAAGGGATATCTTACTTGAAAAAAAAAGTTTCTTTTGTTTTGGGACATATTAAAATGTGACTTCATTGTAATCATTTTTTTTTTCTCTTTTAAGAAAATATTTTCCTTCCAGGGAAGTGAATTGGTTTACAAATTGCTAGGACTTATTTTTCGGTGCTGGCCATGCCTCAACCTGTAGCTTCCAAGTGCAAACTAGTTCTACATATTCATGTGTGTGAATGAGTGGTGAAAGAGATGCTATTTCTGTCTTGATCGTGCAAATATTTTATGTTAACTTTGTGAAAAGAGGAGGAAAGGATTTAATTTTTTGAGTGTTGTAAACTCCATGTTGTAGCACTATTTCTGACAACTTTTTAGAGTATGTTAGTCAATTTTTTGTTTTGTACACAAGAGAATACAGATCAAATATTATTGTAGTGTACATTGGCATCAGTTTCAATGAGTGCATGTCACCTTGCATTTACAATGGACTCCTGTAAAATGTGAAGTTTGTCTGGTGTAAGGTAATGCTTGTTAGCTGCATACAACCTCTGGTAGGTTTCTTTTGCTTGAAACCAAAATGAATTTATCTTCTGAAAAATTTTTCTGAAAACAAGTTAACAAGCATAATTTTTAGGTTTTTCCTTGATAGATATCTTTTTAAAAACTATCAAAATGATAGATTGATAAATATTGGGCCTGTGCACCAATTTGCAGAAAGCTGCTCTTCACTACTTTTGTCCTAAAAAATATATATTCCCATTAAAGAGTCAAAAGACACACGGAGGTTAACCACAACAAACTGGAACAGTTGAAATCAAGTTTTCCTAATTTAGATGCAGTTGTTTTAACATTGTTTTTTTAACTATGAAATTACCTTTTTCAATTGAAAAAAAAAAGAGCACTGGTTTTCTTCCAATAAAGTTGGTTTCTTTTTTGAATGCCTGATCAAGTTGTCTAGACATTAAACAATGAGGAAGCATAATTGTCTTGATATTTCTGTTATTACACTTAACAAGGACATGCAAACTTTTATCTTTAACCCCAGCCAGCTATCACAATTATTACACGGGCTTGTGTCATGCACATGCACTGCTTCGTATCTATTTGTATTCTGAGATGTATTTCCTTTGTGAATTATAAAATTTGTTTTTTCAATTTTTACAATAATTTTTTATTCCATAGTTGATATTTTTTCTTTAAACTTTTACACCATAAGATCAGGATGCATATTCTCCATACTGTTCCCTTCGATATTCTAAGGTGCTGACAAGGAGAATTTGTTATCACTCATAAGCATCTTTAGTCAGTGATCATTTCCTGTATTCTTGTGACCCTAATATTTGATTCAGGCGTGATATTGTACTCCATAGGGAGAAACTAAATTTACTTATCAATTTTTAAGAGTCAAAGGGTTAGGTTAAAAAAAAAAAAGAGTGAAAAATGTCAAAGTAAATCAGGATCAACTCATGTCCAGTCAAACAATAACCCATTCTTTATAATTTTCTTTACTATAACTCTGTGTCTGCTTTAGAATATCCTGGCACTGAAAAGAAAATGGTACTGTGAGGTCACTCTGGTTGGAAAGGGTTCAATCGATGCTAAGTAAATCATGGTCAACTCATAATCCATTTTATAGTTCTTTGAAATATAACCAGGCCTTTGTGTAAGATGCATGGGGGCCTAGTGGTTAGTGCAGTGTTTGTATCAGCCCTTCTGGTGAACTATCAGAGAAATCTACATGTACACAGGGGTAAACTGCAATTGATTAGCATCCCATCCAGGGCCCATTTGTGTAAAGGGTAGATGACGCCATCCAATGCATGAATCACTCTGCAGTGGATGAATGATTGCAAAAGGCACTGTGCTCTCTACTGGATAGAGATATATCTATTGGATAGCATCATCCAACCTTCCACCAACTGGGGCCAGAAATAGACAAGAAATCTTGAATTGAGCTTGGTTGAGTAATTTTGCTTTGATCATGGGCAAGATGCTTAACTGTTAGTGCCTCTCTCTACACAAGAGGAGGGGGTAAATCAATTGGTAGCAGCAGGGTAAATAGTCCACAGTAAGCTGTCGTGGTAATTGGTGAATTGCTTGGAGATTACCCACAATGTTGTACAGTAGCATCTTGTGCTTTTGTTTTCTATGATTGTTTAATATTGATTAGGTGAAGGTTGAATGTCAACTTATTTTTCTTTTATACTCTTGCTTGTTAATTTGAGAAACTAAACATTTCCAATGGTAGATAGACTCCATGCATTACTGTCATCATGTATGTAGAAGATGCAAATTTTGTTTAAGTTTTGAAATGATCATTTTTGTTTTTTACAGATGTGCTTAATGGATACAATGGGACAATATTTGCTTACGGACAGACGTCCAGTGGGAAAACCCACACAATGGAGGTAAGCTATAGATTAAAGATTTTTGGTTTTCAAGAAAATGCTACAGTCACTTTTACTTTGTTATAACATTGGTTAATTTCTAAAAAACTCTCTGACAAAAAACTCTCTGACAAAGCAAGCTTATCCTCGGACGAAGGGCTAATGCTCGAAACGTCAGCTTTTGTAATCATTACGGTGGCCAATTTACCATTTCAACTTTGTTGATATATCCAAATTAAAGCTTATACTTGGGTTAGCAATTTTATCTGATGGATACTGCTTGGCCTATGAACCTTTTGGTTGATTGAGACCAAGACATTGGGTCACCAAACACGTAGGAATTTTGATTGTAGTTTTATCCTCTGGTTGGTGCAAACTGGTTGTGCATATTTCAACACCCAGGTCATCTTGGCCAATTTACATGCTAGTACAAAGACTTTTCACTTTTCAAACACTTATCTTTAAAATACATGGGGAATTGCTTTGTTAAAGGTTTAGGAGCCCTAAATTGGAATCAACGGAATTTCTCTTGTCCCTACCCTCTCCCTAAGGAATACTCAGGTGCTGATCAATATTAATTTGGTTGATGTGTTGCTTTTGTAGGGGCACCTTGATGATCCAGTCAATCAAGGAATCATTCCTCGCATTGTACAAGATATATTTAATTACATTTATAACATGGATGAAAATCTGGAGTTCCACATCAAGGCAAGTTCTCTTGTTGAAGAACTCTTGAGTTATTTTATTCTACAATCAGAAGTTTTCACTCTTTTGGAATAATTTATTTTTACCATGATAATACATATAATTTATGTTATGTTTGATATAATATTGTGTTGATTAAAAATATACATCTAAAATAAATATCCATCTTTTGCAGGTTTCATATTTTGAGATTTACCTGGACAAGATCAGAGATCTGTTGGATGGTAGGATACAAGTTTTATCAGTATCTAGACATTATCTATTGTTTGCACTATTCTTGTCACTTAATTTGTTAAACAAACACATTATTTACTTGAGGGTTAGTACAATACAAAGTTATCTAGGATTTTGCTTGCTTTCATCTTTTTTGTGTTTGATTGGTCTCAAAAGGTTCATGGAGGTCTCACCTCATTTCAAATTTGCCTCCCTCTCACCTTTGCAAGTTTGTTGTCTCAAAACTCCAGACCATTGAAACATTTGCTCTGATGAAGGGCTAATGCTCGAAACGTCAGCTTTTACAACCGTAACAGTGGCCAATTTACCATTTCAACTTTGTTGATATATTCAAATTATATTGTTACCCCCACCGACGCAGCCCCAAACAGTTTCTTTAGAAACTATCAGCCTTTATTCATTGAAACTGAACTCAATTGTGACTTTTCAGTTGTGTTTCTTGTGCTCTAGGCTGTTTGCATGTGCTTTTAGTTCTATTGGTTCTTGATGACATTTTCCTTTCCTTTTATTGGCTACAGTTGTATGACTCTCAATCTAAACTGTCCCTCAGTAAGTGTTTCATGAAAGCTTTTCAACATATATGTATTGTGTACCTCTTTTCCAGTAACCAAAACAAACCTAGCAGTGCATGAAGACAAGAAGAGAGTTCCCTACGTAAAGGTGAGGTTTTTTTTGAATAAATGTTGAGTTTCTTGTGTTATGAGTAGAAGTAAATAAATTGAAAGTTCTTTTGTAGTTTTTTTTTTTGTACATGTAATCTTGAGCATACCCTTCATGTTTG